TTAGTTTTTGCAATGTCACTAAATTTATTTTATACCAGGCTTCGAAAAAGTCTGCTTATTTTAAAAGAACGCAAATTTAATTTAAATGCTATTGCAAATTAAACAGCAAGAAGAGTACTCCTGTCAATCAGCTGACCCTCAGAGAGTATAGAATGCTGAAAAAATTAACAATGAATCAGTAAAGTGTAGAATTTTATGTAAATTAGCCAACTATTATGCCTTAAAATATTACTTTCCGAAATATTCACCAGTATACAAATTAGTTGTAGTGTATTTAAACCAGAAGTTTGAATCTTTTCGAGTTACATCTTCTAGCAAACTTGGTTGCAGTTTGCGTTCTGTCGGTATATCTGCCGAAGTTTACTCCGGCTTTAGCCATTTTACAAGCCGACACCAAACGCTCGCATTTAGTTACTTGAGCCAGTTTAAGTATATCATTCTGTATAGTTTCTGACTACGTTACTTAAATTTGAATTTCAGTTTATTTTAAATACCTGCAAGAGGTATAGTTTCCTTTTGTAGCACAAGAGGTGCCCTCTGCTAAATTTCAAGAACTACGAAACGGTTATTTTAACCTTCGTAGTAATTTGTCATTATACTTGAGACTAGAGTGGTAACTCATTTTTCAGTTTAGTAGGATCAGAAAAAAATTTATTTAAGCTTCTATACTACTAGAACAGAAAACTACTATCAGAAAAAAAGGGCAATTTTTTATCTCGCTCAGAACATTAAAATGTATTCTAAAATTAATCTAGATTTTTTTTTTCTTTTTTTCTTTTGAAAGGCAGGTGTGCAAGCTACACAGTGTATCTATTATAATGCAAATAAGGGAACTGTATTTCTTCATATGTCCCTTTTCATACCTGATGTCAGTACGCACAGACAGAATAAAGGAATTCTTTTTTTATCAAAAAGATTCCAAATTGGATTTAAAATGGATTCATAGAGATTTTTACGGAAAGACTCGCATAACTCAAAAACAATAGCTGTAGAACATTGAAACTTAGCATACTGCATTATATATATATATATATATTTAAACAAATTAAATTTAAATTTTAACAAACACGTATAAAAGTAAAAAAGCAAATTTAAAGCCAAAATAAAATTAAAAAAAAAAAAAAAAAAAAAACAAAAAAAAAAAAAAGCAAATTTAAAGCCGAAAAAATTATAAGCCAAAAAAATTTTTTAAAAAATTAAAAAATTGTGTAAACATATAAAAGATTTAATTCTCGAACTAATCTACAATATCATTTAAATTCAGAAGCATAAGCAAATCAAGTGCAAACCCAATCCATGAAAACAAATTCACTAATTTAGCAAATTAAAATTAATCCAAACAATTTTTTTAAAAATGCATAAGTGAATGACTGTTGAGCAGGCAGGAGACAGACGTATCAAGGGGAAGTTGCCTCCAAACCTCACTCTCCAATCCTTGCAGCAATGGCGCAAAGAATTATTTAATTAAATTTGTATTTAAATTTAATTAATTAATTTTAATTTATTTAATTAAATTCAATTTTTTCTTAAAATTTAACGCCATGCCTGCTACAGGTAAACCCAAAAAACAATTTCTATGAAAAACATTTAACTGTATTTACATGATTACATGCGGTACTTGACATATTAAATATATAGGACAGACTAAAAACAATCTTAACTTTCGAATCAATAACCATAGAGCTCAAATAAAAAAATTCAACGCACAAAAAAATAGCATTAAAATAAGTACAACATCACAACTTAATACAGCAGAATTAGAACACTTTAAACACCATGACTTCAACTCTATATATATACATTCTTCGCCCTTAAACCATAAATTTCAGTTCAATAGCAATGACGCAAAATAATTTTAAAATGAGCCTATCTTTAGAATTTCCGATACACAGTTCCGCGCGCTGGAGATAAAAAGTCCCCCCCCCAGTAGATTGTTGCCATTGTTCGCTTTCAAATCGTTGAGTTTGTTACTCAAAAATTCGTTAAAGGTTTACAAAATATGAAATCGATAATAAAACAAATTCCAAATTTCAAATTTGGGCTTCCACATGCTCATATTCGCAATAGGATTACGCCATGCAGAATTCGATGGCTCTATGTACCGTTGTTTTATCACAATGCGAGAAATGCACATACGTTTATGCAGATTTTTCATTATTTAATTTCTTCAAATATAATGCAGGACTGTAACATTTGGTGGCAAAAGTTTGAAAAGTGAAACGGACATTTTTAGTGATTCAACGCAAAATCGCAAAACGAAAACAATAATCCTTCAGGAACAAAGCTTCTTTGGACTAATAAATTGTTTCATAAGAAACTTATAGTAAAGTTAAATAAATAATTAAAGAATTCTCTTGCGCTATTGTTGCAAGGAAGGAAATTTGAATTTAACAAATAGTCTCTATTATATAAAGCTAATTTAAATTTTAAACTATGAAAATTTAATTGTATACAAATAAAAGATTAATTATAGCTGCGAATTAATTCGCAATATCATTTAAATTCAGAAAGCATATCTAAATTAAGTGCAAGTATCTAAAAACATTATAAATATTTTATGGCTGGATATTTAATTTCAAAATTTGCAGTTTTTGATATCATTTTCAACTTGCCTTGAAGTATTAGTTAATTAAATTAGAATAATTCGGAAAAGTAAGTTTAAATGAAGTGCAGCAAAAAATTTGTGTAATTTAATTATCCGTACAAGGATAATATGGTAGTACGAGGATTATATGGAGCTATCATCAGATTTTTTTTATTATTAATGATTCCATCCCGGGTAAAACAAAATTCAGGTTGTAGTTAACTTGATATTTGTTTGTTAGGTGGTTATAGCAAGGCACACAAGGGATATTTGATTACTATATTTTGTTTTAGTGGAGAACATTTTAATGAAAACTGCTTCTTATTCACGCTACACATGAGGAAAATCCTGAAAACGCCCGTGCAAATATATCACTTACCGAGATCCGAAGCTGGACGGAATACCATTATTAAGCCGTCTGATGGACTAGTTAGATCCACGAAATGATTAATTACCATTTCAGAAATCTTCCATCCCAGGCCTAGTACACAGTATCCAAAAATTCTATCGGACCCAACAATGACCGAGCGATAAAATCGCTGAACGCTGCTAGTTTCGTCCTGGGTTCGACTCCAGGCGAACGGGCTGGCTGCATGGGAGTTTTCATAGTTTTCCCCAAGTGTAACGTGTATACCAGCAAGTTTCAGTTTCTATTAGAAAGTCTTCCACGAAGGCTTCCCTCCTCTTAGGTAGATAACCCTAGTGTTATTTACCGTAATAAACTAAACGAAACCAAACAAAATTCTATACCTTACTTTGAGAAACTAATTTATCTTAAACTGAGAAAGTGTGTAACATAGGACATATATCTATGAACGTGAAGCTTAGCACCTTTTCGAACATCCTTCATTTTAAAAGCAAATAATAATATGCAAAAATGTCAATGAATTTTTTGCTGTTAAAGAACGTCTTCCGGAAATTCTAAACATTAAAAAACATACTTCATTTCACAAGAAAAATATTCCGTACTTAGACAAAAAAAAAAAAAAAAAAAAAAAAAAGAATCTTGGGTGTTACCTTCTTTTTGTAACAAAATATAAACTCTTGTCGCGAAGAAATTTACAGATGTAGCAATAAAATAAATATTACATTAAATTTTAATTAGAGTTCATAAAGAATGTAGTCGTGGAGGAACATTTGAAATATTTTTTAGCGGTACGAAACTCCTACTCAGAGGTACTGTATCAACAGCTGCCCATAAAGTATCAAATGCAGGTGTATTAATAACAATCGAATAACCGTTAATTATACTATTGTAAAGATTTCCCCGGTATGATAGTCTGCTTATTTTAGTGAATAAATTTATCTGCTTTCTGGTACATTTCCTCCTTTTCGAGAAAGACCTTCATATCATCCCTTTAGCCTTTTTGAATTAAATGAGTAAGGAATCAGTTTATCAATACATACATTTTTAGAACGAGTTCAATAAATAAATGAAAAAGGCAAATGTTTTGGAGTTAAAATTTCTGGCAAGAGCTTATCATTTAAAATGATAAATATCGTTTGCTACTTTTAAATTTATTCTTCTTTCAAAGTGTCGCATGTTTAGCTGATGATTGAATATGTTTACTTGCGCTTTTAGAAGAAAAATATTCCTATACCATAACCTCAAAAACGTTGCGAAATACATTATATTAAAATTTCTAAATCAAAGGCTAAAACCGTCAATCATTACTTCTACATGGAAAAGAAGTCTTTAAACGAACACCTGGGAAAAAATACATACTGTTTTTCTAAAGTTTAACCATTGGCAGCAAGAGAAAATCTGCCGATGCAAAATCAGTTGCAAAGTAAACCTATAGCAACAATAAATAAAGCAAACGTTTCTGCTCAGAAAGCTAAAAATTATAATGATTGCTCTTCTGATCCTTATTGTTTGTGACCACATTGGTTCTAAACGTTTCATAAAATCTCGGGATTGAAGGAGAATCGCTCTGTTATTGCTGATTTCTGTGATTCTCACATTATATTTATAAAGTCTTTGATAAATAAATAATTTCACATTTTGATTTCACATATGGATTTAAATGGGAAGAATAAATACCGAATTGGTGTTTTATTTACAAAACAGATTTAAGGAGTTTTATCCAAAATAAAATGCTACATTATCCTCTGTAATATTTTGTGAGGTTATAAGAGTCATTTAAAAACATTCGAAACTTAACTATTTTACCCATGAATAAAGCTTTCTAATTAACTCGGGAATTCTATTTTTACTGTTATCTATCATTTAAAATCTACTACTTCGTTTATAGCTCCAGAATTTAAAGAAAGAAAAATTCTTGATATCCATCACTAAAAATAAAACACGTGCAGAAGATACAATTATTTCTTGCTCACTTAATCAATTAAGTTTTCAAAATTATGATATAAAAATCCTTTCATAACTGCAAGCATTAATAACACAAACTCTTACCTGTTATCATTCAGTCTAATCATAGACTTCGACTTGAACATTGGCATGATTCCTTTAGCACTCTGGAATGAAATAACAACATCAGTATTTTAAAATATTACCATAAGATAAACTTTAAAATAATGTCAGTTTGCTTTCTGGGAGGTATAAATGTCGCTTATCAGTCTTAGTACACCATTCTGACGCACATAGCAGATTCCTCTCCAGGACTGAATTCAATTACATACAGCTGTTTAAACACTGGAAATCTCTTGTGAATCGTATCGGCGCGCCACCAATCGTGGTAAGTAAGATTCTTACACGCGCATACGAGTAAAAGCTATAAATATAGTGGTTAAAATATTTCAGACAAATTTTATCAATGGCTTTGCTATCAATCAATTATTAGAACATGTATTTAAGAAAAAACTCGATGTTCCAAAAAGAACTTATAAACTGGTTGAACTGTAACCAAATATTTCTCAAACAAACGACAAAAATCAAACAAAAATAAAATCTTACTGTAATACGTTCTCAAGTAGAGAAGGCTGGTTTTCTTTTACTTCTAGATCAGAGATTTTATTTATGGTAACTTAAGGCTAGAAATTCCTAAGTTTTTTTTTTTTTTTTTCGCCGACCGCTTTTAAAAGAACAGGTTTCACTATCGACTCCCTTACTTTTTTCTGTATGAAAACAAGTATATAATACACATACATTAACATTTGTATAATATACAGCATACAACATAATACACAGCATCCAGTCTAATATATAGTTATATAATGCACAGCATCCAGTCTAATATATAGTTATATAATGCACAGCATACAACATAATCATAATTCATAAATATAGTAATTAAACTAAATATGAATTGAAGGTTTGCAAAATGGTGTTTATTTGATTTATATTTTAGTAGTTTTTGTATTAATAATAATATTATTATTCATTTTTGTATTAATAATAATTTTTATAATAATATTTAAATATTTTTATTATTAATAATAATACAAAAAATAATGTATCAAATATAAACAAGCTTTCAGAGAAAAAGTCGCATACTCTAATTGCACAAAAAAATCGATTTTAATCAGTGATGGCTGCGCTTGATATATTTATACAACCTTTTTAGTATTCAGATAAAAGTGCTAAATTAAATCACCTCGTTAAACAACATTCAACCTGTTTCTTCCTTTCCGTTGTGAATTATTGACTTGACTAAAGCTTACTTCTACTAGAGAAAGAAAGGAAAAAATTCATAATTGGTAACAATTTTTATTTGGGGATATTTCTGTCGGATAAGCTTTAAATTCTTATACTTTACATACCCGTGTTTTTGAATAAAAATTGCGCTTGAACATTCAAAAGTGCGCTTAAAATAAAAATTGTGTTTGAACAATTGCTCCTTAGATGCAATCAACTCTTCTTACATAATGATAATTTTGAAATCAGATATATGGCAGTTCATCGGTTTTATAAACTATTCTGGAACATTCAAATCTGCTATATTTTTTAAGCGAAAATTAAAATCTTTTCTTAAATTTTGTAAGTGGCTTGCATTTAACAGTATACCTTGCGAGGAAATACAATTCGTTTCAATGATGGGCAATCATTAGTACCATAATCAGGGAGATCTTGAATATGCCGATTAGTTGCCAGCACATATTTTGCTGTGAACCCTTCCATCGATCTTTTAATCACTATTAAACTTCGTAAAATTTCATCAACCAGTCTAGGAACCTTTGTTCTGGATAGTCTTATGTCTGTTGATGTGGATTACATATAAATATTTTTATATAAAAGCTGAAATAACAAATATTATCAAGTTGAGAAATGTGTACCGTGCTCATCATAGAATCGTTAACATAACTTGTTAACACTTCTGAGCAGTTTAAAATTAGGCAAAAAGGCAGTCTTAAAGCTTGCATATACATATACAGTATCAAACGCGTTTTTGTGCTGGGGATAGGGACAGCATAAAAGTAAGCGCATAAAAACATCCTGAAACTTCATAAGTAGCTATAAAATGCATTGTTTGTGACACATTTAAAAAAAGTTATGTAGTTAAGAAGAACCGCTCAAGAAAGGTCCAAGAACGAAAATAATCAAAATCTCACGATACGATGTAGGCAGAAAATGATTTTGCAAACACGACAAAAGTTAATTTACACAGGGAGTATTTTTAAATGTTTCCTTTTCTTATGCACCAAATATTATATATACGAAAATTCCAAAATGTGCACATAAAAATTATTCTTCGTAGTCAAGAACTCGGATTCTCTTGTAGAGAACAAGTTCAAAATCGCTTTTTTCCGTTGAAGACCGTACTTCTCACTCGTTCAAAGTTAACATTTTTGGTTATACAATGTAATAGATTGACTAAGTGGGTTTTAAGACGACGTCGATTAAGTTTATTGACTCACCAAGCGACGAAGTCGCACTTCCTGGTTCCCGGGTGATCACCCTATCCTGTATGTAACATATCTAGGTTGTACAGAGCATTTGATGAGCATGGCATAAAGTACAGTAAAAAGTTCATGAAGAAGTAGAAGGTAGCAATTTAGGCATAATGAAGTAGCGAACAAAGTTCAGTGATCAGGAGAAGCTCTCACGATGAGATTGAAGATGAGAATTAACTGCAAATAGTTGCTGTGTAATTAAGTTTGTTGATGACGCTTGTCTGTATGTGTGACGCTAACCAGACATACATGATCGAAGCTCATTCTGGAATTGGCATCGACTGTAAGGAAATGGCTTTCCAATTCGCTTCAATGTTGAAGCTCTGCGTCTCTGCATAGATGTTATTTTCAGTCATTAGAATCGAATTTTTCTTGGTCATCCGTAGTATCTGATATGTAATTTATAATGACACTGTCACTTACGCGTTCAGCCTGAATCATTTCGTCAATATCAATTTTACTGAAAGTATTAAAACCTTGACCAACAATGTCAGGTGCCAGTGAATAATATTTCATGATAATATTGAGGTGTTTTCAGTTGCATTCCTATTAATGACACATTCTGGCCAAACTGCTTTCCAACATGATTAAAGTGTGTTGTTTTATTTCAGTAATTGCCGCAGCAGTGTGATTTATGCAAACCAAAATCGAAAACGTTTTCCAAGCTTCAATTAAGGTTATAGCATTGTTTTCGAGTTTTTTTCAAAATTCAGCTTCCTTACAAATCCGTAAAAAATTTGGTGATGAAATGTGGATATATTTTTATGATGCTATGATATAATTACAGGTGAGCCATCTGCTAGTTTTTTTTAAACTGCATATTATGACGTTGTCAATAACCGATGTTTCCTTTTTAAATTACTTTTTATTACTTTTTATTCAGATTACTAGCGGGCAAGCCCGCCAGCTGAGCGGGCTGAAGCCCGCTTTTCATTGTTCAATGTTCATGAGTTCCCATTATAATTTCGCCTGTATTCGAAAGTCGCCGGGATTCGAAAGTTGGACCGAACTACCTGTGTTCAGCGGATTTGCGCGGGCTGCGCCCGCTTTATTCACATATGCATGGAGAAGATACTGCGTACTCGATACACATGCGTAAAATCCAGAAAACACCCATGCAGTCTGCCTATTCGATGGTTTTCGAAATTTGGATCGAACTACCAGTGTTGTGCTCCCGCCTTATTCACGTATGCATCCACAGGATACTTCATAAACGTTGGAAATGCAGAAAATCTCGAAAGCGTGCAGTCAGCCCACTTGCCGGGATTCGAAAGTTTGACCGAACTACCAGTTTTCAGCATTTTGCGCGGACTGCGCCCGCTATATTCACGTATTCATCCAGAAGATACTCCATACAGGATACACTTGCGTAAAATCACGAAAACACCCATTCTGCCAGTCCGTTCGCCGGGATTCGAAAGTTGGTCCGAAGTACCACTGTTCAGTGGTTTTGCGCGGGCTGCGCCCGCTTTGTTAACGTGTGCGTCCCCAAGATACTCATACACGTTAACACGTGCGGAAAATACAAAACACACATCCAGACGATACTGTATACACGATACACATGCGGAAAAGCACGAAAACACCCATGCAGGCAGTCCATGCACCGGGATTCGAAAGTTGGACCGAACTACCAGTGTTCAGCGACTCAGCCGCTAATGGGCCCTTGTACGAAATATAATCACGAATATTTTCGGGTTTAATATTCCAAGAGTAGATTCGTTATGAAAATTCATTTTTTTATACTTCAACTGAATCCGCACAAAATTACAAAAAAAATTGTTTCACAAGAATATAGTTAAATCAAATTTAAATAATTCTCTTGCGCCATTGCTGCAAGGAATGAAATTTGAGTTTAAGATATATTCTCTATTGGTATAAAGCTAATATTCAATTAAATTTTAATTGTAAAAAAATAATTATTATTATTATTGCTGCGAAATAATTTACAATATCATTTAAAATCAAAAAGGCTATGTAAGTTAAGTGGACGCATCTAAAACCATGAAAAAAATATATTATGTGAAAAAAATTAATTTATTATTCAAAACAAAAATAATAACATATTTAAAAAAAACAGCGTTTTCAGGTTTATTTAATTAATATCTCAGCTAATTAAAGTTGTACAACTTCAAGAACGTCATCATTTAAATTTAACGTAATATAACAACTTTTACTCAATAAAAGAATTAACGTGCCAATAACATATCGTTGCAATTATCCTAAACTGAAATTTAAAAAAAATTGCAAAAAGCAGCTGTTTATTAAAAATGCCTACACTAACGAAATATATTCAAAATACAGTGAGGTAACATGCAATCGCGTGCTTGATTCACATCCAGAAGATACTGCACACACGTTACACATGCGGAAAATCACGAAAACACCCACGCAGCCAGCCCGCTCGGCGGAATTCGAAAGTTAGAGCAAGATTATACATTTTGATGGACGTTTTTTATATACCACATAAAAAATATCTGATGCGGACAACAAATGACTGGAAGTCATATAAAATATATCTATTTTTGCTGCATTTCATTTAAACGAATTTTTTCGAATTTTATTAGAGATATAGTTCTCAGCCAATTATTCAGTTCTTACTTCGAAGTTCTTACCGATTATTCAGTACTTACTTCTCTGAGTTGGCAAAAATACATAAAAGCTCAAAACATCTTCGCTAAAAATCGTAAAATACGGAAAAAACCTAAAACACCATATACAGTTAAAAAAATTTACAATTAAAATTAGCATTTCTACGCAAAAACAAGCAATTTGGCCAGTGTGAAGGAAGACAGATTTTTCGGTGCGAAAAATTGAAAGTTCACTTTTGATACCAATCTGCAAAAAGACCCTGAAATTGGTGCACAAACTGACTTAATTCACCATTCTACTAAACGTTTCAAATGTAAAACAAATGGCGGGCTCGTTAGGCTTAATGCCACTTACAATTTTAAACTGTTGATAATTCTGCAATTATTGCATTCAGATTAACTAAAGGCATGAAAACCTTATCAGGACATAAGGACAACATAATTCAATCACTTTTAAAGCAAGAAACGCATAATGTACCGACATGCAAGAATAAAAATCTGAGCTCACCGAGCCGGGTAACAGAGTGGTATTTTACAATCGGTTTCGGAAAAACAGAGTGTATTCTGTCCGTATGTACAGGTTCCATGCGAAAACATCGTCTATATGGATTCGAGAACGGTCAAAATGGATATTTTCTTTGAAATATGATACCCGAAATGTTTCGTGATTACAATATTTCCTTAGCGCATAAACGCAAACGTAAATGAAAACAGTAATATTAATAGGGTAATACTTTTTTTTATTTCATTAAATAGTTTTTATGCCCACGGAAAATAAGAATTTCCAAGTGTTAAGGCTTAAGATCTTTAATTTATCTTTATAATGCTATTGTGAAAAAGAAAATTATTTGAACTTGAAAAATGTTTTATTTCATCTCATTAATGTAATAAATAAAATACATAATAGGAGTGTTTCTACCTTTCGGAACTCCCGAATTGCATTATTTCAATAAACCACACCAAGGGTTATACTGTGCAACAAAAATATGACACGACTTACATCTACTACTACTTTAACATCTATTATCGACAGCAAATATATTGTAACAAGGTCTAATGAAATTGGTTTTCTTTTTACGTAGGATTTAGGTAAAAACTATGTTCTTTTTATATTTCAAAACATATTTATTAGGAAATCAGAATACCAAAGATGTCTTTCTTTAGTTTTTGCATACCAAAACCTGCGAAATTCACTTCCAAATTCGCTGGCAAGTTTCATGACAGCTCAGAATGCAGAAACAAATATCATGAACTGCAGTCAGTGTTTTCCGAGATCTTGAAATCTGTGTAAAGACTTATAACAAAATGGTAATTATTGTGCAGTTTTTAATTTAAAGGGGCTTTGTCCGTGAAGGACTATTGTTTTCGTTTTGCGATTTTTCGTTGAATCACTATAAATGTCCGTTTCATTTTTCAAACTGTTGCCACCAAATGTTAGAATCCTGCATTATATTTGAAGAAATTAAATAATGAAAAATCTGCATAAATGTATGTAAATTTCTATCATTGTGATAAAACAACGGGACATGGAGTATACATTTTCCTATTTTTTATCTATTAAAAAAAGTTTTTTTTTAAAAATATTTTAAGCTTTACTTTATCACCCATATTACATAGTGTTTCTGAAATTTTGATAGGAAACTACAAGTGTTTTAACGACTTTTACTAGGTTTCAAATTTCCTTTGTTCTTTATTTTCATTATAAAAAATCAGCGAGCTTTTTTTGACTAGTTTTACCTTTCGATTTTTAAATTCTTTATTACTACTTTTTTACTTACATATACATACTACTTTTTAATCTGATTGATTTAAATAAAAATGCATTTCATTCATGAGGAATCTAATTAAAAAATTAAGTATTTTATTGCATAACTGGATTTATTAAAATCTCTTTGTATATTTTTTCTTTTTTATAGTAATTATTTTAGTCGGCTAGCCGCTCAAGCAGCTAATTTAATAAAAATGTCACTCATCATTATAATTCCCTCACGAAATAACTTAATAATAATCACTTATTCAAATTGCAACTTACTATTTTAATGATTACTTACTAGTTTAAGGAGTTTAATAAGTTAATTATGTTTTATGAATTTAATTACTTAAATGAGCTTTAATGATTTAATTTTTATGGGTAAATTTATCAACTGATTATTTTTTGAAAAATCACTCGTTAAAATAGTAAGTTGTATTTATTTGAAACTAATTATCATTATAAAGCATTTTCGGTTCTGCTTTAGTTTGGAGAACTAAATCACAATATTGTTTCCAGTGCACAGTAATATGCTTCCAGATTGTAGCATTTTAGACTGCAACAATGTATTTCAGTTTTTTATTTATCTCTTCAGCCGTCAAATATATTCAAATATATTCAGATTTTCTCAAGGGCAAAATCGCAAAATGGTGTATTTATGTTACCGATAACTTAAATACAGCCTTAGAAGATGATTACAATCCTTTGAACATCTGCTTCTTACTTCATTGCCAGAGTTATTTCTTATTAAATCATATTTTTGTTAATACCAGTTTTTTAATGTGCAGTATGCAAAGGAGACGGCAGGAAATTTAAATAAACTCACGAACAAACATTAGTTCAGGCCATGGCCGGTCTACACTTGACCTGATAAACAAGAGAAGTTTTACATTTCTTGTTCTCTGCCCCTTGCTGTTTGATTTGCAAAGTTTCCGTTAAAAACTGCCTTGCAGGTAATTGAGAAATCACATTCCCGGCGAAGATTCGATGAGGAAAAGTAGAAAAATAAAATGTGCCGTTACAACTCTGCATATGACTCATAATTCTAGCCACAAATGGTTAAAAAAAAAGATAAAATGAGACCAGATATTTAAACAAAGTTCTGAAAGGTTTCAAATTTTAACGGTCGTCGAAAAGGGTTTGTTAAGATTTTTAAAGGTTTCGCTGATCGCACTTCCAATCTGCTGTCCACTTCGAAGATTATCTCTTCATGTTTGTTTAACTTAGATACTGATCTAAGTTGCGCAAAAGCGCTTATTTTTCTATTTCTAGCCAAAGGCCTGATAGTGCAGCACCAAATAGAGGTCAAAACTCCCAGCAGTTGACGCCTCAAGAACCCACCAAAGATTTCCGATTCCCAATCTGCTGTTACTCCTGCAACCCATTTTTTTAAAAAAAATTATTTAATTTTATTTATTTCTTTTCCAGCTTTATTATTAAGTATCGTTTTCTTCGCACGTGCATCATATACAACTGGACAGCAAAATCACAAAAGTTTTAAAAGCAGCATATGTTTAGAATTCGCGATGCAGTGTGAGCATAATTTTTTATAGGTAAAAATGCTATATTTCGAACAGTTTTGCCACTGATCGTATATAAAATCGCTGAATTTGTTACTAAAAATTCATTAAATTTGTACAAAATATGCAATAACTTAAAGTATAAATTCAAATTTAAATTTGGATTCTAAGTTGCTCATATTTGGGTGAAGGATTAGGTGTATTCAAAATATGGTGGTTGTAAGCGCCGTTGTTTTTCCACAAGGCGAGGAACATACGAGGTATTCTTCATTATTTAATAATGGCAACATTGATAAAGAACGTAGCATTTATACAAAATTGACGCCAACTAATGGAAGACCGTCTGTGGTTATCTCATGATTGGCTAATTAAGTTAGAGATGCTGTGCGCACTTCCAGCGTTTTCAACTAATGATAATGCGTTTATACCTTCAGTGCATTATCATTAGTGAAATCTCCAAATCTAATGCGTTTTTCGATATTAATCATGCAAACCGAAGACGACAATAAGTGCGTCAAGTCTGAAGTTTAGCCTGAGCGATAATTTATTTTCCTTATTTTTCTATACCATGAGAACCAAAAGCAGTGCATAATATATTTTTAGTACTTCTGATAAATAAATTAGGGATATTTTAAAATTTAAATATGGAGTAGGATTTTACCGAGTTTCGTTGTATGTGTTTACTTAAGCTTCCCATTCCACTTCTAAGGTAAACGCTGCAAGACGGCTTTACTTCTGTAATATTTTGTAACATATTTTACAATTTTTGAGGAGCTAATTCAGTAACTTTAAATAACATTTTACGATTTAAAGATTTATGGAAGGCGCATAATATCATTTTTACAACCTTCACACTTGATTTTCAGCTAGGTAATAAAGCCAAAGGTTTCAACATCCGGAAGACAATGTTTTCGACCTCAGGGGTTAATTACAGAAATTTTACTGAAAATTCTCAATTGAAAGCTGATTTTAGCAATTTATGCGGGCATTATTTATGGCGAATATTTAACAAATATAACAATAACGGCAAAATAAGCTAGAGACTTACTTACTCGACAACATACAACAGAGAAGTTTCTAGAATTCTTTTGCATTAAAGCGCTGTATAACGAAACTGAAGCTGTTCCATGAAATTCTAGCCATTTGTATGCAGATTCTTTCTTCATACGTGAAATAACGTTGTCTAACAACGAGAGAATTCTTTATGTGACGGAAAAATAAAATATGTCCCAAAAGAGTTCCGGTTTACTAGCGGCAAGGAAAAAAGAAAAAGAAAAAAACGTGTATATTTACTCTTTTATGATCTCTGAAAAGGTTTTGCAGCAACACTGAGCTCGAAGCTGAACTGATACTTATAAGCTCTTACATTTTCATGTAGAGAATTCTGTCTGTCCTACCTCTGCACGGAAGCAGTTATATTAATAATAACTTAATAATTTTTTGATTGGCAACAAGAAAAAATTTATTGAGTTCAAGTATTTAAATCTATAACTATTATTTTCTTTTACATATGATAACATTACTAATGCTTTACGCGTCGAGGTATCTGAAATTTCCATCAGATTTAAGCCTTCACGATTGACATCTACGCACCGTAATTCTTCTTTTATTCTAGTTTTCTTCTCGTCTATTTTTATCTCTCTTTTTTTATATTTTCATTCTCCATTTGTGAAGCTTGAATGCGTCTACGGGAGTTACGCCATTTCATTTCCTTTTTGCTTTTCTTTGCTTGTCGTAATGGGTAATGTTTTATGCTTTTTTACGTTTTAGAACGTTCTACTATTGTCACAATCTCTGAATTTGCCACGCATGGAGATATATCCTCAAAAGATAAAAGTCATGTATTGTTTTCTATGTACCTAAATTTCAATAACATGAAATGTAGCATAAGTATATTAAAAGTCCACTTAATTGTAAAAACAATGGACAAAGAGTTTCCATTCGTTATACAGTTTCATCCGACATCCAATTGATGAGACAGTTTATAAATTTTATCTTCCGCATAAAAAGCGCGATAATACTATCTTTATGCCATCGTCTGGCTAGAAAAAGCACCACTCAGGGACATTTTTGCATGACTAAATATAAAAAATTGCACAAACCCACCCGAAAGTAAAAAAACGGCAAAAATAATAGAACAGTAATAATAATGTTAACTTTTCAAATGAGAATTTATGCCATTTTTTATACAATATTATACGTTTATTTTTAATTTCTAGCTATTTATAAACTTCATTCAATAAACATTAATTATATTTAAGTTTAAATGCAATTAATTAATAATTAATATTTATTAATAATATTTCTTTCGAGCTTCATCTATAGGAAACTTCTTTAATAATTTAAAATGATAATTATAATAAAAAATTATAAAATTTAACAGGTCTGTTTTAAATTTCACAGGAAAACTACATCAGTTATGTGATTTAAGTCAAAATAAAAACATTCTTAACATTCCTTTCATGCGATATGCACGAAAAATTAACATTATTGTCGTAAATGTTCCAGCGATTTTTGTATTTAAAATAAGCCTTACCATACGATGTGCTCTAAAATGGCTCCATCAAATTATCTGGGAAAATGGGTTATGTTATATTTAAAATAATAACTTCAACACGAATATCATCATGCCTACTCGTAGCTTCACGAATAATGTAAGAAGTGTGCGGCAGAATATTGTTTTAAAATCATTTTGTCGCATTTGATGAGCTATTTACATTCTATTTTACTTTCAAATGAATTTTTATGCAATTTTCATTGCTGAAACTGAAAGAAATTTGAGGGAATAAAGAGGCCTTTTACTTGTAACGTCATTTAATTAGTAAGTAACAGCATAGAGCGAAAGCATTGCGAATTTATAATACGTACTTTAATGGCTTTCAGTTAAACTTTGCATAACATAACGTTATTTATATATCACGTTTCTTACGCTTCTAACCAAACATAGCAAATTAGTTTTATATTTATTTCGTGGACGTTTGTACAAAACGGAGATACATTTCAAGGCTCTGCCAATTTGCGAAAGAAATTTCGAGGTCGTTTCTCAAATGAAATATAGCATGCTTGAATACATGAACGTTCTTACGATATCTGTTATGAATTACAGACAATGTTTTGTCCTTATACGATCATAAAACGTAACTGTACAAAACTCATGTTTTGGAATGGATTCGAAAAATCTTTTTGAATTAGGTTTTTTAACCTCTTCTTTGATATTTTCTATAAACTCTAAAACAAATTCCAGGAACGTGTAGTTCTCAAGCAATACTGAAAAATGAGATGACGAATGAAAGACAGGACAACTAATGACTTACCCATCTTATTCCATTAAAAAGATCCATCATGGTTGCGTGAGACTTTGAAACTACGGCTTCGTAAATCGCAATGTTAGCGTTTCCTGAAAACACGTATATTCCCCCGAAAAATATTGATTAATGTTAAGTGGTTTGGTAAGATAAACGTATCAGTACTTATCCATGTTTAATGGTCATATTTACACTCGCTTTGCATTTGTGAACAACAGCCTAATTTCCACAGCTTCATAAACACCTTGCGCAAAATTCTAGAATGCGGGGATAGCAAGACTGCTTTTGGACATAAATTAAATATTCAGCAAATAAGTGTAAACATGGAATGCAGAAAGCACAAATTAAAAATATGAATGGTACGTTGTAAGGTACGTTAATTAAAAAATGGCTTATTAAGCGAGGTAACTTTCAAACTGGAGTTAAAGCAACGCTTCACTTGAGATTTCCTCATTAAATTCATAATTTAATCCAGATTAAAGAAGAAATATCCTATTGACTTACATTTTACATTTAATCTGGATTTAAATGTCTGATTTTATTTGTTAGCCGTTAAAAGAAATTTAAAAGAAATCTCATGGGCCGATGACCTCCCGCCAGTTTCGTGTTTTATATAGAAAGAAGATATAGTAAAGTATCAGCTTCAGTCGATAGTTTGGAAACAAAATATGATTCGTTTTTCCGGTAATGAGAAAGGCTTCGCCGAGTGCAAAAACTGCTCTTTCTAAATTTACACCAAATTAATCAAATGTTTACTCCTTTACTTTTTTTAAATTAAAATTGCGTTTTATTGGGCAGTAAAACAACATATAATTTAACTGGTTTTTAATTAATATATTTAAAATAAATACAGTAAAACCCCGTTTAACGCGGAGAAACCTTTTCCAGCGCTAAACGAAACTGCGTTAAACGAGGTCATCTTACACGTAGATAATGGGGATAAGTGAAAGAACGAGGATAAGAAAGTTTATCAACTTAAAAGAATTTTTTTAAAACATTTATTGCTAAATTCAGTTTTATTGCATTAATTACAGACTTATCAATTGCTAACATCGATTTTATTCATAAAGTATTCATTAAAATCAGAAACATTTCCAGAAAAGAAATTAATTTTGTGATAAAGAAAAAGTTTTTTTTCTTTCGCCAATTAATTGGCGATAAGAATACATCGCCTAAAAACTGAAAAGTTTTGGATTATATTGAAATTTATTTTTTCAATAAAACCTACTTCAAATAAAGTACCGTTTCGTGTTGTACAATTTTACCCCTAATCTATTCAACTCTTTATAAGAATAAAGAAAGTTTAAATACGGAAAATGGAATATTTTGGAGGTTTATACAAAAATTACCGTGGTAAAAGAAAATTCTCATAAACATACACGCAGATAAACAGATAGACATTACTGTAAAACTAATAAAGACGTGCTGTGGGATCCCTAATTCATGCTTATTCATTGAAAATTCTCCATAGAATTTTGGGACCGAAACATTACCTCCCTTACATAGGCATATAGATTGGCGGGAGGTAAAGAAGGTCTCACATTAAAATTGCTAATTTAAACTATCTAGATTCCGTATGCAGAAATTCTAGTTATTTCATATTTTGCTGAATATTTTTTGAGTAAACATGCTTTGGAAACTTAATGATTTTGTCAAGAAGAAAACTGATAGAAGAAACGGTGCAAGCTCAGAATGATACATTAAAAGATGAAATTCCTAAACAGGAAAATGTGATGAAATTTTATGGATAAACAATTGAGGGATTCTAGGAATCTGAACGATGACTTGATATGATAACCGGAATTATGTTTTGTCTAGATCGTAATTCCGGTTACATCCTTATGCTCTTTTCAGTCTCGACCCATTTTTTATCATTGAGCTCTTTTTTCGCGGAATTTTTTTTTTTTAAGTAAAGTATTTAATTTTTCTTCTAAATTTAATCTACCTGTTATTGATTAACAGAGATGGGGGCGCGACCCATAGTTTAAGAAACTCTGATCTAGATGATGGTTAAAAACAGATTTAATCTTTTTCAACCTCTAAATCTAAAAATAAAGGATGAACGGCAAAGTCACTAAATACTGGTAAATACAAAAATGCTTGGTTCATTTTCAGAGACACAAGTGAACTTCCTAACAAAATGATTTGTTACAAGAAATGAGAAACGCTATATTGCCATGTCAATAAAATGGAATTTTTTGGCTTTATTGAAGATTCAAAGATAAATCCCGTTAATAAGTTCTGACACATTCAAAAATCTGCTATTTAATTTTCTAACCATTTTATATTGAAAATAAGTATGAATAAAAACAATTTCAAAAAAGAAAAGAAAGAAAATCTAGAAGGACTGAGTTTTCAATGTCGCGCAAGAGGATTTGTTTAAGGTTGTTTTATGATCTTAGCTGAGCATCGCAGGGTACATGATTTTTTTTTTTTTGTCTTTTTAACTTTATTATTAAGCATTGCTTTCTTCGCTTTTACGCCACATAAAATTCAAAATCAAAATTGCAAAATATATAAAAACAGCATATCTTTAGAATTCCCGATAGAGTGTTAGAGGTTGTCATACATACTTTTATATTCGCTGTATTATATATTATTTATATATTACTAGAAAATTATTATTATTGATTTGTTCACATTTCGACAAATAGTAGATTTCCCCACTGGGATGGAATGCGATTCCATTTGGTTCACCTTCGTGGTCAGAAGCCATCTTAGCGGCACTCTCATTTACTCACTCCATCAATATTAGTAAGTGTTTCATTATCTACTGAATTAGTGTTCGATTTGATGCACTAAGTTTTATTAACGGAATCTAACTCATTGAAACAAGTGCCTTTAAAAATTGTTTGGGTCCACTTTATGCACAACAA